AGTGCCCCATTAGAGTCGACTGGCTTTGTCTCTTTTCTAACCTGACGAGATAAAACGGAGTGTTATCTCCATGTCTGTAAGAGCAGAAATTAGAGAGTGTGTATCATCAAACGAGGAACTTAGCAGTCTTTTTCAAAGATTATAAAGCAGCAGTCTATTCAAAGGCCTGTTGTTTGCACACTGTTGGAGCTGACTCTCATCCACATACTTTGTGGATGTGTTTTTGGAGGTTGGCGCTCGTGTTTTTTTGGAGCCGCGAACGCTGCAGCTGTCGAACAGACGTTTGGTTTACTGGAGGGCCCCGAGGACAGGACGACGAGCGAGGCTTGAGTTTCTTGTTTTCTTTATAGATCAGATGACCTATAAGGTGGCTGCCCCGCATAAAGAGAACGTCGCCGAGATCTGAGACGCTGTCGTTCTGAAATTCTGAGCTCGGTCCTGTCATTTCCTCACATGCACGCACGCACGCTGCCTCGTTTGTCATCTGAAAAAATTAATCTAGAAGGCAAACAGTCCCTCTTTTGTACGCGGGGGCTCTGTCTCCTGTGGCCGGTATCCAGTTCTGTAACGAGCAGCAGCTGGCTCAGAGGCCTGTACTCGGGAGCTGCATCCCTCACCCTGATGAATGTGTCATTTGTTGCTTGTTTAGCAGTCGCTTTTGTTCAAATTCTGAGCCTTCCTCTCTCTCTCTCTCTCTCTCTCTCTCTCTCTCTCTCTCTCTCTCTCTCTCTCTCTCACACATTAATAGCTCATACAAAACTCGGCTACAGCATGTGTAGCCCACTTTTAATGGGTGCAAAAAAATCTAGGCCTTCATCACTGTTTGGTTTTTTGGAAAGAAAGAAAATTGTTCTTGGAGGGTGTTTGAAGATATAATGCCAAATGAAAGTTCTTGCATTCTTATGTAGTACTTAATAGCAGTTCCTGTTACACCACAGTCATCAAATACAGGTTGGATGACGTCTCCCCCCCCCCCCCGTGGTTGTTTCAGTGCTTTATCTGCAGGAGTCAGGCAGTAACGGTGCCATGATTTCTTTCTTGACATCCAAGCCTTATGGAGCGATGTTTGCTGACGACTGAAGGGGAAAATTGTAGGTCATCTTCCCTCAAGTTCAGTAACTGAAGATGTTTATTTTGCTTTGTTCTAACATGAGTTTTTTTGCCTATTCTTTTTATTTTTTTCTCTTTATTTCATGGTGTCTGCAGTCAAACTTCTGTCTCCTCCTCTCCTCCTCCAGCTTTCTTAGACACTGTATCTTCATAATTGGTGTGTCAGCAGCTGTGGAATTTCTCAGAGAAACTGTTTATCATACACTGCAGCACAGAAGCATTTTTCTTTTGTTCCCCTGAGAAAATATTCATGATGGAGTAACATCTCCAGAATTGGGCTGTAATGCACACTCAATGTTTTTCTCAGCCCCTCTGTGTATAGAACAAATCAACAACAAGAAAAAATATAAAATGTCACACTTTGTTCAAGTCTCTTTATCAAAGTGAAACTATTTTTTTCTACTCTGATTCATTTCTTTTTTGGGGGGGGTCTTGTTCTTCCCCTTTAACGGCCTCTTCCCTCCCTGAGCGAGTGGGTTTCCTGTCCCCACTGGAGCAAACCCAGAATGTCCAAAGAAGGATTAAATCCAGAAGGAGCAGGAGGACCAGTGAGAGCATTACAGAGTCAAAACACATAGACAAGATCACACCAAGCGTCAGATTTCTGTCTTTCTATGATCAGCCTGAAGAGCCAGAGCTCAAAGACACACTTAAAAGAAGGATGGAAGCATGTGCACAGGTTTGGCTTTCAAGCTCAACATCAACAAAAGGCTAGAGGAAATAAGAAGAGGAGGAGTTAGACATTCTATGACAATGAGGTTGAAATATGAGCTTTAATGCTTGAAGTTGTAGCCAGAGGACTTTTGAGTGCACCGAGAACAGGAATGCACACGAGGATCATTAGATACCTCCGAGTGTTTCTGTGTCTTTGATATTAACTTAAAAGAAGCCTTTTTACAGACTTTTAATGAGCCTTTCCTGTTTCTTTTCCATGGCTCTGTGAAAATGAACAAAGGGAGTAAAGGTTTTGAACGTACAAACTGTTTCTCATTTTTTCATTTAGTACTCAAAGAAAACAATGTTTGACTTTCTTATAGCATCCATGCGTACATTACTGTGAATCTGTCTCTGTTGGAATGTCAGTGACTTTTCCAGTGCTGGAGCCGGGAGCTGGTAAAGGGGGTCATGGAGACAGAGAAAGGAGGTTGAAGGGAGGGTGGAAAATGCACTCAGCCACTGAAAACAATGAGACAGTGAAAGTGGGTTGGGGTCACTGAGTTTTTGCACCGACTGGGCAATTATAGCTAAACACTGGGTAATTCTACTTTAAAGCTTTATTAATTCAAAGTGTTTGAAGAAGTAATCCCCATTTCAAACAAGGAATGACATCTGTTGACATTGACATTAAGAATTGGCAAAATATTATTTTCTGAATTCTTACAGATAAATGGGTCAGCCAATATTATTGAAGGATATAGGTCTACCACAGGTATATGGGTGTGGTATTTATGTTTCCAAATAATCCTTCATGAAAACTTTCTCATCAAATAAACAGTAGAGTAAACAATGCTTGGGGAGGTTAACCAATAGTGTCGTATTGTTGCATGTCCAGAACGATGCACTCCATCTTTTAATACTCGCAGCACTGTCTGCTGCACATTCTAGAAAAGCACAAACATGGTTGACTATGTAGAATCGTGTTAAATATTCCTTGATAAAGTTTGTTTTTTTGGGAGAAAGCTTCCTTCTCAGAGTAGACATACATGCAGATATTGACATCCAAGCTGCTTCTATAACTAGCTAATGTTGCCCCTCTACCATTGGAAAAGGCATTGGGCTCAAAGAATCCAGTTTCTGTCCATTGCTTGTGTCAAGTTGGGAGGTTTTGTTTGTATATTCATCTTGGGTTTTGACCCGGTTTATCTATTAACTGTCTGTCTTTATGATGACTATAACATTAAAGTCCAAATCCCCCATGCTGTATCCCCCTTCTTGTCAGGAGCTTTAAATATTCTCATAAAATATTTGATGGTTGGTCATTTGTCCAACCCGACTGGGATTTTTTTTTACTTAGTTTTTGCCAAGTATCAAATGATGTAATTAAACATCCAATCTGAGGTGTAAAAGTTTTATTTTCATCAGTTTTTTTTATTAGCAAAGTTTGATTTATAACCGAGGCCTCAAGGACGAAGCAAAAGGAGGAAATTGTGAGGCACAGTTAGCAGAGGCACGCTTATCTTAAACAAACTCAGAAGCAGATGATAAAGAAACCCATCACTCCTTCTGTTTACCAGGATCTGTTCTCCAAACTGTCAGTGCCTGTGCTTGGGAACTCTCATTAAACAAGCCAGGTTTGTTATCTGGCTTCCAGGTGTGGTTAGCACCTGACCTGTGTGGAGTAAGATTTCACAGTCTTTTCTACCCACACAATAGCAGTCAGATGAACAGAGCGCTGCCTCGGGCGGGATGACAGAGTCTGATTCATGTTATGTTCAGGGAAAAGTTGTTATATAATCAAAGTAATCAGAGTTTACGATTGAAGATTAAAGTACTGTGGCTCACCCTTTTTTTTTAAACAAATCTTTCAAATGCAGTTTAATGCCAGAAGATTAAAATGTTCAGTCATTACTGAGATGCCTAAATTTGAAAGTTTAATAACCTTACTTTAAAAAGGTCAGCGTTAATATTCTCACTTCCATCCCAGGGTGCAAGTTTGGGAACTGTTTAGGAAGAAACATGTAACTGCTTTCCCATAGTCGGCCTGTTATTCTCAGTACAATACAGTATGCCAATAATCCTGAGAGCTGCTGACATTTACTTCCTGTCTCAGTAACCCTGGGAACCATGGGAACTGTAAGTATAAGTATGCAAAAACGCTCTACATGCCCTCAGGGTGGTGGCCACACAGACCATGAACAGATTGTTTTAACATGGAGGGAAAGTTCACTTAATGCCCATTAGCGGAGGCCATTATGGAGCCATTTTCCACCTCTCCAAGAGGAATTCCCATTAAAGATCTTTCATTAAAACCCACTGTGATAATTCCCTTTTTTTCCGGAAGGATTTGTAAAGGTCTGCGCTGAGAGCATGGGAGCATGTAGCATGATAATAAGTGAGGCACCGGAGAGTCTTACAGAGCGCTGATGTGCTACAAGCATGGAAATGATGTCTCCTTTGCCCTCCACAATTTGATTCATTAACATTTTCAACCACTGCAACAGAGATAACATCTACAGTCAATGGTTGGGTTGAATAAGCAGTCGACTCAATTTTACTTAGATTTTAGTTGTCATTTCTTTAGGGCTGCTTAGATTCTTGCTTTGTTTTTTTGAGTTTCTTTACATGTGGGTGTTGCTATACATTTATAAGACACAAACAACCATCATTTTATATAATGTGATTATCATTTCAGTCGTGTTTCTATTAAAATTATGTATTTTGTATCCTTACGGGCAAACTCTAAATTATGAAAACTGATATTGCTTCTACATGAGACACAACAAAGAGTACTAATTACCATGATTATGTTTTTCTTTAAATGAACAGATAGTGAACTCTTGCTTATCATGTCTGCTTCCACCAGCCCGAGGGGTTGTGCTCCCAATTCCTCAGTTTTTTTGGTTTTTTGTGCAGCATGGCTTTACTGTTAATTATCATATGCCTTAGTTAAAGGTTGTTTTACCATAATTTTCTAAAAGAAACAGGATCATTGAATAGATACTGTGTATGATCTCAAGGTCAGACCTTTGATAATGAATCAAGAGGGACTGTGGGATAACAAAGAAACCATGATTCCTACAACCAGTGCCTGCCATTGGTACATTTATCCTTTTACATCTTTCATGTTCTCCATCTATAGGCCATTTTAATTGAAATTGTTTTTCACGAATCCTCTGGATCTCTTTACATGTGTTAATCAACTCCTCTAATGTCCCTTTCTCTTCTTTCAGGATTCCGCAAAATAAGCCTTGATGACCTACGAAAAGCCTACATCGTCAAGGACGTTCAACAGTACATCCTCCACCGGCTGGACCAGGAAGAGGCCCTTAGGCAGCACCTGACCAAGGAGACCGCTGAGATGCTCAACCAACTCCACATCAAAAGCAGCGGCTGTTTCCTATACCTGGAACGTGTGCTTGATGGCGTGGTGGAAAACTTTATCATGCTTCGGGAGATCCGTGACATCCCAGGCACTCTCAACGGCCTCTACCTGTGGCTCTGCCAGAGACTGTTTGTCAGGAAACAGTTTGCCAAAGTCCAGCCCATCCTTAATGTAATCCTGGCAACTTGCAGGCCACTCACTGTCAAGGAACTGTACCATGCAGTCTGGACCAAAAACATGACGCTGACAATGGAAGAGTTTCAGAAAAAGATGGACATTCTCTCCAAGTTGTTGGTTGATGGCCTTGGAAGTACTAAAATCCTGTTTCACTACAGTTTTGCAGAGTGGCTTCTGGATGTTAAGCATTGCACCCAGAAGTACTTGTGCAACGCAGCGGAGGGACATAGGATGTTGGCGATGAGTTACACTTGTCGGGCCAAGCAGCTCAAACCACTTGAAGTGCAGGAATTTGCACTGCACCTTGTCAATTCCAATCTGCAGATTGAGCCATTTAATCTGGCTCTTTGGATGGTTTGGAATGGAACTCCTGCTAAAGACTCGCTGACCACCTCCATACCAAGAGAACAGGAGGTTTTGCAACTTCTGGTGAAAGCTGGAGCTCATGTAAACAATGAGGATGACCATGCATCATGTATTGTGCAGCAGGCCCTGGAAAGAGAAGATTCAATAAGGACATTGCTTGACAACGGGGCATCTGTAAACCAGTGTGACTCTAGTGGGAGAACTCTGCTGGCCAACGCTGCATACAGTGGAAACCTTGATGTGGTTAACTTGCTCATATCTAGAGGGGCAAATATGGAGCTAGAGGACAACCACGGGCAAACAGCACTTACACTTGCTGCAAGGCAAGGCCATACCAAAGTGGTTAACTGCCTAATTGGTTGCGAGGCCAACATAAACCACACAGACCATGATGGATGGACTGCCCTGCGCTCAGCAGCTTGGGGTGGACATTCAGAGGTTGTATCTGCTCTGCTTTATGCCGGTGCCAAAGTGGACTGCGCTGATGCTGATGGTAGAACTGCTCTGAGAGCAGCTGCCTGGGGAGGCCATGAGGACATAGTGCTGAACCTTCTTCAGCACGGGGCTGAGGTCAACAAAGCAGACAATGAAGGAAGAACAGCTCTCATTGCTGCAGCATACATGGGACACAGAGAGATTGTTGAGCACCTCTTGGACCATGGGGCGGAAGTGAATCACGAAGACGTGGATGGGAGGACTGCCCTCTCAGTTGCTGCTCTCTGTGTTCCTGCAAGCAAAGGCCACGCTTCTGTTGTGAGCCTTCTAATTGACAGGGGAGCAGAGGTTGACCACTGTGATAAAGACTGCATGACCCCCCTCCTTGTGGCTGGCTATGAAGGACATGTGGATGTAGTTGATCTGCTTTTGGAAGGCGGGGCTGATGTCGATCACACGGACAACAACGGCCGAACTCCTCTTCTTGCTGCTGCATCAATGGGCCATGCCTCTGTTGTAAACACATTGCTTTTCTGGGGAGCGGCTGTTGATAGCATCGACAGTGAGGGAAGGACTGTGCTGAGCATTGCTTCCGCTCAGGGTAATGTGGAGGTGGTCAGAACTCTGCTGGACAGAGGTCTGGATGAGAATCACAGGGATGATGCAGGCTGGACCCCGCTACACATGGCTTCATTTGAGGGCCACCGCCAAGTGTGCAATGCGCTCATTGAGCAAGGGGCTCGTTGTATAGAGGTCGATAACGATGGGAGGATACCGCTGATACTGGCTGCACAAGAGGGACATTATGACTGTGTGCAAATTCTTCTGGAAAACAAATCATGCATTGATGACAGGGGATATGATGGGAGAAATGCTCTCAGGGTTGCTGCACTAGAAGGCCACAGGGACATTGTTGAACTGCTGTTGAGCCATGGTGCTGATATTGATCACAAAGATGCAGATGGACGCCCTACACTCTACATATTGGCACTTGAAAATCAGCTGGCCATGACAGAGTATTTCCTTGAAAATGGTGCGAATGTAGAAGCATGTGACACTGAGGGAAGAACAGCCCTACATGTGTCCTGCTGGCAAGGGCATGTTGAAATGGTGAGGCTGCTGATCAACTATCATGCTGATGTGAATGCCTGTGACAATGAGAAGCGATCTGCCCTCCAGTCTGCTGCGTGGCAAGGACACACCAAAGTCGTGCAGTTTTTGATAGAGAATGGCACCCACGTTGATCATACATGCAACCAGGGAGCAACAGCACTAGGCATAGCTGCACAAGAGGGTCACATTGATGTTGTGCAAATACTTCTCGAGAACGGCGCTGACCCAAACCATGCTGATCAATTTGGACGTACAGCGATGAGAGTGGCAGCAAAAGGTGGCCATTCAATGATCATAAAACTTCTGGAAAAGTATGGAGCCACGACTCTAAATGGATGCAATCCCTCCCCAGTTCACACTATGGAAGAGAAAACACCCTTGTCCGTAACTGGTAAAATGCAGTCCCTCACCATTAAATCAAGTAGCTCTGGCAGCACTGGGGCAGGAGATCTGCAGTCCTCTGGACGTGGTCTGACCAATGGGCCTGTTCACGCTTTCAGTTCCCCTTCAGAATCACCTGATTCAACAGTAGATCGACAGAAATCCTCCCTTTCAAATAATTCCCTGAAGAGTTCCAAGAACTCCTCCTTGAGAACCACGTCGTCCACAGCAACAGCACAGACTGTGCCAATCGACAGTTTTCATGGACTGACATTCACAGAACAAATCCAACAGCACTCGCTGCCCCGTAGCCGGAGCAGACAGTCTATTGTGTCCCCCTCCTCTACAACAAAGTCCATAGGTCAGCAGCCATCATCTCCTTCTAGTGAATTTGATTGGTCTATGTTAAAATCAGGTCTCAAGTCAACAAAGGGAAGTAAGTGCGGGAATGATACATCCAATAGTAAAGTAGTACTGGGAGACAAGAAGAAAGTCAAAAACAGTGGATCCATCCAAGGTCAGGTCCTCGAGTATGAAATGACACAGTTTGACAAGAGGATTGCCCTCAACAAATCAGTGGCAAATATTTCAGTGAAAGATCCCCATTGCAAGATCATGATTGGTGGTTCAATTCGGCAAGAAAGGGGGCAAAGCCAAGATCAGTACTTTATCCAGCAGCAGAGCTGTGCAGAGAAGAAGCGGAATGGTATCATGACGAACCCCAAATATCATCTACAGGGTAATCAGGTTTTCCTGAGTAGGGTATCAGTTCCTCGGACTGTACAGAACAGAGGCCACCAAGACGTTTTAGAGAACTATCCCATTGGGGAAACCGAGCTCAGCCTTAAACAAGCCCTGAAACTGCAGATTGATGGATCAGACCCTGGGTTTAACTACAAAAAGGAGACTCCATTATAGCTGGTAAGAGAAACGTTGCAAAATAGTCCTCCAGCGTGCTCTCTCGTTGAAATACATCCTGCGTTTGGCTCAAGAGTTGAAATGAAGGTCAGGGTGACAGCACGTAGACAAGACTTTGGCTAGTCCATTCAGAGGCCACTGGCTGACTTTTAGTTATACTGGATTGTACTCAACACAACCACAATTAGCTCGGATTTAACTGCATGAAGAACGCCTAAATCTGGATAAACAGAATTTTTCCCACAGAGCAAAACATTAACCTAAATCCTTCCTTATACTCTTTCAGATGTCTTGAATGCCATTCATCATGCACACATTGGAGGGAATGTGCCAAAGCAACTGTTTTCATCTGCATAGAAAAAAAAAAATTCATCAGTGGGGAGACCTCAAAAAACAATACCGGGGAACAATTGTTGATTGCTGCCTAAGGCTTATGTGAACTGAAACATCAATGTGCCTACATCTGTTACAGCCTTCTTCATGTATTCATGCAAACATTCATTTTAATTTAATGTAATGCTATTTAATAAACAGTGTATGCACTTTTAAGAGTAAAATGACAGACGTGCATTTGTTCTTATTCACTTTGTAACCCATCCATGTTTTATCAAGAACTGTTTGAGACAAACATACCAATGCTTTTGTTTTTATTTGACTTTTGTTTGTTCAGTCAACTTTTTTTTTTTCCCCCACCCTGACAGCAATGTGCCACTGAGTGCATTGTCACAAACCACAGGAAATAACACAAGGCAGAATGATACATCTGCTCTTTCTACAGACCCCAAATAATCTGTGTTAGTCTTGATCAGTGTGCTTAACCTATGTTGTATGTAATGTGTTAATAGCTATGGCAATTTACGTCACAAGTATAAACGTACAAGCATATTTATTTTTTTCGGAAAAAAGCCACTTTTGCTGCATTTTGTGTTGCATTATGCTCTACCATGGTGCTGTGTTCAGAAGTTGCCTGCAGTTATTTTGGACTCCCGGTTTTGTTGGCTTTGTGCGTGTCTGTATTGTTACAAAAATCTAAGAAAGACGCAGGTGCATTGAAAATGTTAAAAAAAAAAAAAAAAAAAAAAAAAGATCATTTTGTCCCTATGGGATTTTTTCAGTTGCCTGTTTGTTATTATTTTGTGTGTGCATAAAATAATATTTAAATAACTCATGGTGTTCCATCAGCAAAAGTTTGGTGCTAAATGCAGTGATTTCAAGTGAAAGCAGCTATTTGAGGAAATGCATTTGTCCACAGAGTCACTTGTATAACCCAATGTAAAGCGAGAAACAACATCTACGCTTTGTTTCCTTCTTGTCATGTGGTTACTTTTTCAGTCTTTCGTGCTGGATATTTCAGGGGCATGGCACAAAACGGCTTAAAAAAAAAAAAAAGGGTTCAGCCATTAAGACAACTCATAGCTGTGAATGATTTCTTTTGCAATGCAGAGTTGTAAAGCCAAAGTAGAAACACCATAACCCCCCCCCCCTCCCCCCCCCCCTGTGAGAAGCTGAATATCAGCTCAACAGTATTTTAACCCTGCGGGGGCTGGAGGAGGGGGGGAGGAGGTGCTTGACTGTGATGCTGATGGAACCGAAACATCTGTTTGTCATGAACTGTGTGGAGCTGCGTTAGCGTTTAAAGGCTGTCATATTTTTGCAGGCTTTTCATACTGTCAACAGTGAGCTATTTTTTGGGGGGGATCAGAGGGAGTAGGAACCTATCGCATACAAAAACACTTATAAGCCCAGGTCAACGCCCTCAGCTCTTTGGTGCCACAGTAGCGCAATGATATGCCATGAAGGGTCAATGGAAGGATTGGAGGCGGGATCAGGTCTAGAAACAGTGTTGGAAAACATACTGTATAGTCTTATGAAACTCTTGTTTGTCTTGACTGTGTTTTGTCAGTCATCTTTGATTTGACTGTCAGTGATTGGATTGTAAATAGCTTACCATGTACATTCAACTTTCATTTAAAAAGAATTCCTGTATTATATGAAGTGGAATTTTCTGATGTATATTAAAGTGCTTAATAAACATATTTGCTTTACTGCTGAAAAATTACATTTTGTTTTTTTCCCATTGTCTCCCCTTTAACATATCTGGATATCAACAAGATACACAGAACTAAGGCATACAGTAAATTATAGTTGTGTCAAAGAGAAGTTTACCTTCTGCAAAATTAAATCTCACAGGTGTGGCGGATTAAAATGACACAACTAAAAAACATTTCACAAAGTACACAAAGACTTAAAGATGAGTTACATACAAAAACAAAATAAAAGCATATGCCTGAAATGAGAGTCTGTGGATAATAAAATCTGTAAATAATTATAAAAGGAAATCAGGGGTATTTTGTAAATGCAGTAATAAGGTCTGAAATGCAACACTATCTTAAAGCACAGCATTCAATGAATATGTCTAGATTCTAAAGTTCTAAATGGCAATTTATCACTTTTATCTTCAGAGCTGAACTGCCAATACCCTCGAATTCAAGGCAGACTGATTGATTTGTCTGGCACAAAAAAGCCTGTGCAAAGCACTGATGATCAATTGACTTTGTGGCATTTTTTTGTAGACAGATAATAAGACAGTTGAGAGGGCGAAGGCTACTTCCAGAATCTGACAAATCTGCAATGACTGATTCTTTTTCTCTCAGAGTTCTACCTGGAGGCCTTTTTTTTTTAATCCACTTAAGTGTTACTTTCTCCCAAAGCATTCGGTCTGAAAAAAAACACAGGCTCTACATTTAATACCTTCCTCACTGTTGGTCACTTGATGGGTGGAAGGCCAAACCAGGACACTGCAGGCAGCACAACACATGGATCAGGCTGAAGTGGGAGACAGGAGTGAGCCAGGTGCTACCACTGCCCACCTCTTTCCCTTCAGTTCACTCAGTTCATCGCAGTCAAACAGGAGCTGCCAGAGAGATCAAATACACAGATGGCATTGGTTTGACGATCAGTTCAGCTCTAATACACATTTTATGATATCTTACAAAATTACATTCTTCATATGTTAGGGACTGTAACTCGATTCCTTGGCTGTCATAATGAATCATATCTTACAGGTGATTTAGATTTGAATATAATCATGTATTTTAAGTGTTTAACTGAATATGAAGCATGTTAGCTTATGGCACAAAGGACAGGGATTGGACACATTTGTTACTTTGACTAATTAGGCTTAATTGCCAGCCATTATCCAACATTTCCTAAAAAAAAAAATCAATAGAGCAGCTAAAGCTGTATGCAGCTTTTGGACTTTGAGCACAGTGTTTTGTGCATGTTTTGAAAGGGTGGGTGTTAACGAGAAAACCATCTGGTACTGATGTAATGTAGTATGTCCTGTCCAAGCTTGGAGGATCTCCTTATGAAGCATCTGCCAGTGGCCACATCTGCTTCTTCTCCACCCCATGCCCTTGTTTTGGATACAGCACTAACAAGCTCCCACGCAATATTCACAACACGGCGACAGTTGTGGCAGAGATGTAATCGCCTAATGCAACTTTATTCCAAAAGTTCAAAATCTTATGAACTTTCCTGAGACTTATGAGAGCTGGTTTACACATTAGATAAGATTAGATAAAAGATTTTAGTCATTAGCACTTAGCTTTATTGCACGAGCTAGCAGAGCTTGTTATACACAGGTTCGAGTTTTATCAAATAAATAAAAGCCCTTGCAGGCTGCCACATTGCAAGAACTTAACAAGAACTCATAAACTGAAAATATATCTATTCAGTTTTGCAAGGTGTGTCAGTTCCTGTGAACACGTGTTCTGTTTCTCATCAACACAGAGTACAGTACAGAAAAGCGCTGGCTGTGCAACAAAAAAGGCGGAACGCTCAGAAAAAAGGCGTTGGGTGCTGTGTTTTTTTTTCCAGGCCGACGCTTACTACTTTTTGAAAACAACTGAAAAAGCTGGCGTTCAGAAAAAAAAAAGCTAGGTGGACACGGGGCCTAAAATGGGTTTCTGTATTGAATACAGTTATGTTCAGTTGTTCTTCTACAACTGGTCTCTGAGTAGAACCTTCAATGAAACAGTCTCAGGAATTGGGTCAAATTGTTACTCATGAAGTTGAAATTTTCAACGGAGAAGTCCAACTCATGGCACTGGTTCACAGCATTCTCCTTTTGCTTTGCACTAAAAAACAAAAAAAATCAACTTGTAATTTCAAATTTCAGGTTTATTTTGTACATTTCTACTTTATTTCCAAATGCAAAATAAAAACTCATCTTTTTCCTCTTATGTGTGGCCATAATATCCTTAAGATCTGAATTTGTCTTACATAAACACATCTGTTTTTATGACTTTAGAACAGTAAAAACCCTTTGCAAATATGACTGCACTTCACAAAGTACACAATAAGAACACGACTGCTACATTAAAGAGTACATCTTATTGGACTTCTTTTTTAGCTACAAATTAGTGAATTTCTGTTCTGGAAAAAAACTGGCTTCAGGCAGAGCATAGAGTCAACTTCTGCAGATCAATGCCAGCAGTCATTTGGTCAGGAGGCAGCCAAGTGTCAGACTCACGGAGAAAATGTACAAAGGGCTATTTAAATCTGTCCATTTTTATAATGACACAAGTGCAGCCATGTGGAGCCCTTCGTCATACGATGTTTCTAATTAGATTGACGGGAGTAGCCAGTGGGGAAACAAACTCTGAGCAGGAAAAGGTGATTCTTTTTCAGACCTTTAGCAATTACTTGACTATTCAGAACAGGGGAAATGACTGCCTGCAATTAAAGTATTTTGAATGGAAATTGACGTTGAAGTTGGAAGTCCACTTACTTAGGAGTAGTTTCAAATACATGCACAGTTATATTTACTAAGTCTTTGTTTGATTCTGCACGATTTAGCGTCAGTCACAGTTTAATCAGTGTAGTCTCCTGTAGCTAATTCATCCAAGAGAGACTTTTCCTCACCACACTTGTTACCAGTAAGCTTTTTACGTTGTGTAGGTTGTGCCTTGCAGCAATTCATACCAAAAAAAAAAGAGATGATGTAACCTTTAAAAGAAGGAAACGTTCACATTTGCTCAGATAGGAAGCAGTGAACTACCTAATTAATAAAACATTTTCTTAATTGAATGAACTAGGATGTTCTCCCAGCCTATAATTTGTGTGAAAAAGTGTGTTTGAAAGTCAGAAATCTGTGAGCTTCCTCAAGCAGCCATTAGGTCATTGGTACTGATAAAGTAAAAACCCATCACCCTCCTGCAGATACTTTATGATCACTTAGTGCTACGGGGCAGTATAAATCTTACTTACAGCTTTTATAAACCTTTAGTCCCCCACAATGCCAACAAGGAATAATCACAAAGTGGGTTTAAGATGCTGCTTTGACAGACAGCCTGCTGGATTTTATGCTCCCTGTTGGCAACATTTCAAATACAAAGTGTTTAGGTTCAATAAGGCCATTCTAGTCTGAATTTGTGTCAGCGTATAGTGCAGCACAGCCGACGAGGAGAGAGGTATTCATGAGCCCTTCAGGAACCAGGCATTTTAAAAGATGGCTTAACAGACCTGCTTTTGCTCATCTGTTTTCACAAACAGCTCTTAGATCCATCAAAAGGCCTGAATGCACTGTCATGAATGCAAATTTTACAAAGGGAAGATTCTTTTTCAAACTGTTCCCCCGCCGATCTGTTGCATTGCAGCAGAAGTTGAACGCTGGATTTTTGAATTAAAAAAAAGAGGAAGGGACATGTGTATAAAAAAAAAGGCAGCCTCCACTCAACAACAATGGAGCAACTCACAGCCAACGAAGCTGGAGAATGTGAGATTATACAGACTGTGTTCCTCTTTGTGGCCTGTTTACATAATCCACAGTCTGTCATCAAGGAGCGTGAATGAAAAGCTTTCATGAACTCTCTGTGGAAAAAACTTCTTTGAAGCTCGACAAAGTGGGCCCAACATGTACACAGGTGTTCCACTTTCTCTGAGCAGGCTAAGGGCAACAACTGATTGTAAAAAAGGTAAGTCAAAAATGTCTTTCACAGAGGAGACAAAACACCAACAACACAGCCTTTTGAGTGTGGTTGCTTTGGCTATAGTGCACCATCATACTGTGCATCATTAATCATAATGGATGAAGCCAAGGACAATAAATGGACCAGAGCTCCACACAATGGGCGGACTGTAGCTCCACAGGCCGAGATATTCTGGTGCGAGACAAAAGCAGCTGCCTGTAAACCAGAGAGCTCAGTGTTTCACAGCACCATGCTTTCTTTCCCCTCACAGTGACTTGCTCATGCAAACCGTGTATCTCCAAAATGTCAGCTTTCGAGGGACTTAGAAAAACAGCTTTGTTGGCATCTTGAAGACAATCCAGTTTTGAAGCTTCTCTGTGTTCTCCAAAAGGTTTTGTAAGCCCAAGAGGTGAGAGAATTTTCCCAGCCTGTGGAGCATATAATCCTCTAATTCACTTTTATTTGAGTTACAAGGTCTGCACCCAGCAGAGAAGATATGTTAGAAAGTGGAATCTGAACAAAGCAGCTGGGAATGGAAAGGTTTAAATATAAACACGGGAAACTCACAGGGAGAAAGCTCTATCGTGGGCAGTGTCTTCACCAAATTCACAAAGGCGGCCGTTACCCTCAGTTGTTATAATGCCATACTGCTGTTTTTCCACTGTTCAGATCTATTAAACAACAGGAAATCAGACAAGGGGCTATTAAATCATTGCGTCACAATTCATCAGCAACTTGAAAGGAATGCAAAACCGGAGGGACAATGAGCCATATTTCACGTTTCTGTTTCGATAAACCAGGAGTTACTGGCATTAAAGTCAAATTAGCTAACGTTTGCTAATATCATCAGCTAGCTAAAATTGTCATTTACTAGGAATTTTCAGGTGTTATCGTCTAATATATGTACGTTTATATGCAGATTTAAGTCGCGCTATGGTTATAGTTTGATTAGGGCGACTGTCCTTGTTCCAGTATACAATCACCGTGGGGGAGAGTCGATTCATTACATACTATTACACTTTTACACCACATACCAATTAATGGTTCAACATGTTAGCAAGCGGCAAACTGGTTGTTGGTCGTACAG